CAGAGTGTGTTATCATTTCGACCTCAGTATGGAACAGTTTTTCTTTGTTGTATACAAACATCTTCAACATTGTGACTTATTTCCAGTAAGCCGCATATTCTGAGCTCGTAATGTTTTGATATCATACGTTACAGACGAAAAACTTCACACGCGTCATTGAGAAATTAATGATAGTACACTTGGAGAATAGCACACGAGGAGTGATTAATTTTACACATGTAAGAGATACATGTATGTATTATGCACATTTCAAATTTCTATTTATTTATTTATTTATTTATTTAAAACGCCAGTTGCGCATATGCGTCGTAACAAATCATTCATCTTTTCAATCTCTAATATTTTTATCTAATTCTAATCAGAGAATCCAGTTCCGGTAGCATGAATCATACTGTATAAATAATACTTCCATATTCTTTTATTAGAACTTATATGATTAAATATTTCGTGGAGATCTAAATTTTAATATTAAAAGATGTTTTTAAAATTTACATATAATTAAAAGACAAATAATAAAAGCTTAATATGTATCTTAATATCTTTAAAAATATGTCTGCAAGAAAAATAAGTTGCAAATTTATTTGCAAAGATAATCGAATTATAAAATTGAAAAAATATGATATATTTATTTATTATTGCTTAGTCCGTGCCTTTCGACTTTGGACGAACTTTCGGTTTTACCTACCTCCCCTTATATACCTACCTCCCCTCTTATCCACTCTATTATATTCCACTCCCTTAATTAATCTATCTCTAGAAACTAAAAACTAATGACTAAAAAACTATTGCAACTTTGAGTTTTTGCCTCCTTGCTATGCTTCCTTCCTGTCGTTCCTCCTCGTCTCTTGTATTGTCCTTCTCTTCTCTATTATTGCTTTTATTTCTGTTAGACCTTCTCTAGTCTCATTTAGTGTTTTTTCTATTATGTCCTTTGGTCCTCCCGTTATTTCACATTCTTCTATTACATACCTCAGGTCTTCTTCTTTCCTTTTACATAGTCTGTATCTTTTTTCTCCCTGTTCTTTCCAGTATTCCTTTGCTTTGGTCTTGTTTCTACATCTGAATCTTGCTAACATTCTTCTGTCCTTCCACTTCATCCTCCCTTCTAAGTATTTTGGTAATTCTTCTTTGACGATTTTTTTGTAATGTATGTTATATTTGGATTCCCTTATCCTTTCCTTCCTCTTTTCTGCTTCTCTCTTTCTTCTTTCTTCTATAATTTGGTCTGCTGTCATCCTTTCTTTCTCTTCTCTTGCTTCTATCTGTGTCCCTCCATTTCTTGGCCATTTCCCCAGTTTCTCTCTTTCCTTTATACACTCCTTTACTAGTTCCTTTTTTTATTCTGAGGCTTTCTCTTCATACCTTGCTGCTCTTTTTAATGCTTTTTCTTTGATTTCGATTAGCTTGCATTCTTCTATCAATATATAATTTGGTGTTGTCATATCTAAACCTAACATCTATTCCACATGTCTTTTTTGTATTCTATTCAGCCTTTCTTCCATGTTCCAGCCCCATACCTCTGCTCCAAACAGCGCCACGCTCAAAATATGATATATTAATAATTAATATAGCTTAAAAAGTATCGTAATGTGAAATATGTTCTTAGGAACAAAGAAAAACTTCAATTTTGCATTTAAGCGATGTAAAAGAGTAAAATATAAAATACTTCTTTAATCATTTTTATTAAATTCTATGAATAGTAATCGGTTCAGTTGCTAATCTAACCGATGCATCTTACTTTTTTTTTAATTAACTCCATATGTTCTATCCTTGCATATACGCATATGTGTATAAATTAATGAAGTAATAGCTCTATGTTTAAAACAAGACATTGTAATGTTATATGCAATTTGTATTTGTTAATTCATAGTCTTGTTTCATGTTAAAGTCAAAATTAGAATTGAACTTTAATACAGTTAATGCCTGCCTTTGAAGGCATCTCACTGAATTTGATTTATAATGTGATTCGATATCACAAAGCAAGGGGTTAAAATACCCAATTAGTGTCCTTTTGAAAGCTAATCTTCAAATAAGGAACGTTTTTATAATTTATACTAGAATATTTTTAATAATATTTCAACTACATTAAATATTACCAATAATTAACTTTTTTAATAATTTATATTGAAACAGTGTTATACTTTTGGTATTATATCCTAAAGACATAAATATTAATACTACTGCAATAAAATATTTAATTAGAATGAGACTGATTTTCATGGAAAGAATACTGAATGATTAAAAGGTGATTCATTATATGTTAACGTTTGATATCTGAGATATTCATTCAAAGAATTCTTATAGTCTACACATATGAATGTATTTTTAGCACAGGCAATTGTGAGTGACACTGCGTTTGCTCGTTACTTTTGTCCGCACGAGGATGTTACATGATAAGAACGCACTGCCTACGCTTCGTTATATAACAACTTATGTCCTGAAACGTATACTAATTGTCATTATGCATTATACATGTAGTATACATATATGTATAATTCACTTTCTTAAAATTTCACTTGAAATTTTTTAAATCATATTATATGATAAATTGGTATAATAAAATCTTATATCCTTTTTTCTTTGTCTTTTATGTTGTCTTGACACTTTCATTTTCTCTCGCGTTTTACGTTTCGTATACAACGGTTTCGGTACCATAAAATCATCGCAATTTATCAAACTTCATTTATTGTAGTTACTACAATGTAGTACACAAAGTATACACCTACCATACGCACTTACAAATTGCTTTGCATTCTCATGTTTTTAATCGTACATATCACAATCTTATTGTTACTATTATCTTAGTATGATATCTAATTATAATTATTACAAAATCTGTTCGACCGCTCCGCGGGGAGACACGTTCAACGTCGTATAATGAGAGTCGTAAATTCTCGTTACGATACGATGATCGACGCCGCGAATCATCCGATCTCCTATTTCAGTTAAGATAATAGGGGTGATTGAATGATTATAACACTGAGTTTAATATACTCTTTATTTCCAACAACGTTTAAGAATGCGATTGATGCGTATACAAGTGTTTTCAGCGAAGCGTTAAGAGCAAGTCGAAATGTATTCTGTTCGAAGGGATGATAACAAGTAAAGTGTTTGTAGCAATTAAGGGCCTTGGCAGAAAGGTAAAATGTTGAATTTTATAACTATTCCTCAGGATTATTACAGGTCCGAGTTAATATACTTATACAGATGATGGCCATCTTAACCGGAGGATAGATTATGGTTTATAGTAGGTCCCGGGACAACAAAACCAAATCCATTAAGTAAAGTACTATTTAAATTGTTTGCTCTGACTTAACTTTTGACAAAAAGCAAAAAATTCAGAGCCAAAAATTCAAACTTGTTTTAATTAATTAAAAAAGATTAAATGGGAATCTAAGACAGCTACAAGTACATGGTAGAATAAACTTATATCTATAAAACCTATAATATATAATTTTATTAAAATAGTCTGATATATTAGACTTATTACATACTGACTTATGAAATATCGAACTAGAATATTATGCTAACTCGTACCGCCTTGTACCAATCGGAGGAACGACTGCATTCCTAAGTCATACAGTCAATCAAATTTCAATCATTAATGGCCAAATGGTAAGTTATTAGGCGTAAAATATTTAATAGAAGGAAAAAAATCTTTGACAATATCGTCATTGCCACGAAAGAAACGAGTGAAAATAAGGTTGAGAACATCTCCATAAAAATTCCAAACGTTTGCATTACATCTTGTTACTCAATTCTTCGCAATCTGACTTTTAAATCGAATGTTTTACCCAATATTACGCTTATTCTTGGCTGACTTACAACTAACGCATATCTGAAAAATCCTCTAGAATTACAAATATCAGTATCTACATCTTATTACCACGTACACAATGAATATTTGCAGATATTCGTACATTATAATTGTACATTTTGTTATGTTTGTTTTTTTCGTTTCCTCGATAACGATTTTTGTTATATTTCTACCTAGTAAAAAATTTCATCCGTTTTAGATTTTGAAACCTATATAGGTTTGTACTGTACTGTACAGAGCTGGAAAGATGATTAGCGGGACAACAAGAAAGCGTTGCTATATAGCTTACGTATATGTGACACTTCCGGCCAGTATGTGAGCTTATCCTTATGATTACGTTGTATCTGTCAGAATCAAACGATTAGACCTGCATACTTACGCCTAATCATTTTCTCATTTCTGTTTTGCATATGGTTATAATCTTTACTTTAATTTTCGTATATTTTGTAATTTTAAATAAAAAATATATGTTTCTTCCGAAATTAGATATCACAAAGCCGATAAATGTTATAAAGTAAATAATAAGGAGGGACGATGCAAACATATTTTGTACATCTATTGAACGAACAATGATAATTATTTAGCATATGAATTTGCCGTAATAAAAGAATTTTTTATTTTTAAAAATTAAAACTTAGGATTTTAAATGAAGATTGAAATAACAAAGATGTCCAAAAAATCATTGCAAACAAACGAGAATCGCTTGATAAGTAATTAAAATTGAATTCTCTAAGTAAATTTGTATTATCGCACAATCTGCACTCGAGATTCATGCAAATTATGTACCTACCTAAACCAAAATACTAGGAAAGATCATTCTAAAACAAATATCCATTCAAAATCTCTCGAGCAAACCTAGACTTCAGCTTTCTTTCCCATTTATTTCCTATTATCATACAGTCTCTATACGAAATCTCTATACAAATTCTTTAAGTACACTAAGACGCTTAAAAAGATGATCGTAAAAAGATATTTATGGAAAATCTCAACACAAACTTTGTCTGTAATTTATTTCGCATTGTTATTTTTTATAAAATAAACAACGAATTTTTAAAAAGAACGCGGTTGTAAACTGTATGCCAAGTACTGACATACGACGTAGTTTATAAAACGATCGCGTAATACTGTGATTTTTATCCGGGAATCTTCAAACTACTCATTTTGTTGATTATTATTATTGCAGGAAGACGCGGAGGATTGTCAGAAAAGAGCAGAAAGATTGTTGTCGGAGGAGTATCGCGTGTTTCGCGGGGCGATAGGCGTCGACGTGGAAGGTGTCGGCTCGTGGAAGGCTCAGAGGCGCCCTCACGACATCGAGATATCTACGCCCCTGATCGGCGTCGCGGCGCACGAGCTGGAGTCGTCCGTGGACGGCGCAGCGTTCAACCCTGTCGCCGCAGCGGCGACGACATCCGCGAGATGCTCGCTGATGAAAAACGCGTTGAAAACGCCATCATCCACCTCCACTTCTCTGCCCGTCAATGCCCACATCAGGCCAAAGTTGTACCTAGGCTCCGTGATCGCTGAGACCAACAAGGAGGATGCCATGGAGCCAGAAGTAAAAGAGGAGGACGAACGAAGGTCGTCCACGCCGAGCCCCGAGGTAATTCTTTTATCTTCTTACTGTCCTTCCATTCTTACTCTCCTGCTATCTATATCTTCTTGCTTATCTCGTGCATACTCTTTTTTTTCTTTTGTTTTCTGCTCCAGCCTCGTTGATGCATGCTACGACGTGTGACTGATAGGTTCGCATAGAACGATCACGGAGAGATGACACTGAAATTGATCGAACTAGACTGTGTATATTTTTTCCTTTGTCGAGTGACCGTTGTGTGGCTTTGTTTTCCCGAATCGAAGAGAAGCCTGTAATGCGCAGATAGAACAGGTGAATTCGAATACTCCGAGGGAATGCGATTGTCCATTGTAGTGGATTGGTTTCTTTGTTTGTTATTGGAAGAACTTTATAAGCGATTGCAAAATCTCCGGCAATATTTTATCGTTTCTTCTTTTGCACGATTCGACGTGCCAAATAAATCGATGTTTACCGATGTTAATTTGGATCTTTTTCATATTTGCTCGAATCTTACATGGTGTTTTGTAGCTTCTGTATACTGGTATATAAACTGTCAGTGATGAAAGTGAAATTACCATTTCCCATTACATTTCGTTATCTCCTATGATGACAAAATGTCATCGTGTTGTCCGACATTATGTAAACCTCTATCGTCAGATGACAACGGTAATTGTATCGAAGATAGTTAATGCAGTTCCTAAAAGCACAAGCGCAGCATCTAGTACCGTGCCATAACGAGTGTGTAAATCAATTAATACCTATGGGGATGCTCAGGAATGTGTAAACGAAAATGCGTGACGTACAAGGTTCTCCATTAAGCGAGCAACAAAAGTTGTATGTTTATTAAAACGTTAGTTGGTTGTATGTTAATTAAAATTTCTACGCACATTACCTACTCTCTATAGCTAATTAATCGTTCAACAAACTATTGCATTCTTATATAACTAGTTCCGAAATATCTGAAAAACGAAGATTACGTTAAATCTTACGTTATCTACAATACATCGACGATGTTTTCTGCTGTTCAAAGAAATTTAATATTATTTTGTCTTAGTCGAGTAATTAAAAAGAGATGGTTGGAAACCACTGGTATCGCCTCATGCTTGTAGAGTACGAGTTCTTCCTACATGCACTTCCACCAACGTAGCTCCGTATTGATTTTACGGAGAGCTCATTCTGTCTTTCTCTACCTTTGGTTATACACGTTTACTCATATATCTATATCCTTTCTCGCTTGCGCTTCTATCTCTGCACTTTTTTCTTTCGCCCCCCCCTCCCTCTTTAACTCTCCCTGTCACCCTAAACATTTCTGCAAGAATTTATCTCGTACGTTTTCTGTAGCCTGTGAACGTAAAACGCTTAGAGTACGAACGTTGATTATTTCACGGTGGGCAAGTAGACTTGAGTTAACTTCGTGGCTTCGGTTCTGTTTTTAGCGGGAAATTTGAATTGTTTCTAGAGTGTAATGGTTTTATTTTATTTCCTTTTTTTTACGCGCATGATCGTATTTAACATACATATGGTTTAACATACATATGTTTTAAAAGATTTTTTAAAGGTGTTCATGTCGTAGATTTAAAATTACAAAAAAATAATTTAATTTAGAATTATAATGTTTGATTAAGATTATACGTGGTAGAAAAGAATTTCCTATAGAAGATGAAATATTTTCTAAAAAAATAGATATGAGTTTATAAAAATTGGTAATTTCCTATTATTATTATTTCAGTTGATTCGTGCTGAGGATAAGTAAAATCTTGTCTGTTTTCATATTTTTTATCGAGTGTTAATAGTAAATTATCAACTTGTTATACTTAAAGAACTTTTATATTTTCACGAATACAATTTTTTGTCGTCATACAATGAATTCATCGTTAATTAGATTGTTTAACTATGTTTAGCAGATTTATACAAGAAGAAATAAACGTTACAATGAAGGTGGAAGTAGCGAGGAAGACAGCAAACCAGATATATCTCTACAGGGCCACAGATTACCATCTTCTTATCGGGGAACGTGGCCCATCAGAAGAGACATATGGGCCAATCAACAAATGGGCTTTTCCACTCAACAAAGCACATCAATCACTGTACACAACGTAAGTCACTGTTTTCCTGAACCGTACATCGCACAATCGACTTTAGGGAAAAATAATAGTATTTTATTACTTTAATAGTCTTACAAATTGATTTCAAAATTATGCGTTATATAATCGCATTTTACGAAAAATAGTGGCCATTTCTTATCTTGATAGTCAAATAATCTCAAAATTATATTACATTAGGGAAAATCTGTTTTGTTATTTTACTGATTTTACTAAACATATCCAAAATTATGTGCCATGTAATTTGTTGAAGAATCGTGGAAGAGTAATATCATTATTCACTTAGGAGATATGACGAGTCCAGGAGTTACATTCAAAAATATATTTTGTTAATTGACTCAAAAATTATCTTTTTCTGCAATTATTCACGCTATTGTGCAATAAGTTTCTGAGCAGTATCTTTATTTAACTATTACTCTTCCTTCGTACTGTTAATATTTTGAAGAATCCTAAAGAATACAATTATATTAAAAAAAGGAAAATACATCTAAAGTATAAGGATATAAATGTGGAACATACGTATATATCGTGAGTTGAATGAACAGGACTAATAAATGAATGAACATGAATTAATAAATACGTAACCTGTCATAAAGACGGCGCTGAAAAGGGAGCATGACCTGCGAAAAAGAAGTTTGACTCATCGTACTAACCATTATCATTATTACACAATCGATTTGCGAAGCAAAAATCGCCATGAATGATTTAATAACTTATTACTATGGAAATTTATTTTATTAAGTTATAAGGCATATAATATTATATATTTCAAAAATTAACGCAAATATTAACATATAATAATGTAATGAAGGTGTGATAAATATATAGTTTATATAATAGAATATTATATAAGCGAGCTGAACTATTTTCCTATAATATATTTAAAACGTTTATATAATAATTTATAGTTTTTTATAATTTTATATAGTTTATATAATTATAAACGTTTAATATATTAACGTTAAACGATTATTTAATAGGAACAATTAATTAGAAAGAGTGAATAATTACAAATTAATAAATAATTTACAACGTTGCATAGTATATAAATAAAAAATTGAAAATAGAATAGATAGCCCTTTGTGTATAAAGCAAATAAATAAATTGAAGGTCAGTTTAAATTTCCTCGGAAACTTTACGAAGATAGTAGAACAAATATTCTTCGATTGTTGATAAATGTAAATCCTACAAAACTAGGAAAAAGGTTCTTAATTACTAAAAAACTAATTTAATTATTACTTTTTAATAAAGAGGAAGGGACTTCAAAGGTGACAGTATTCCTCCTAAATCAAAATCCTAACATTAATTTCCATCCTCTCCCATAGGACGTAGCCAGCGTGATGAGCTTTTCGTCGAATTCGGGCGGGGCCCTCGGCTGTTCCACGGAAATGCAAGGCGATCGAAGGCTAGGGGCGAAAGTGGACGTAGTGTACAATCTACTGGGAATGCTTGGTAGCACGGAGGGCCGAGAGGACATGAGTGCAACGCTACTCTCTATGAGCAATTCGATAGACAATTGCCTCATAATGAGGCAATCAGGATGCCTTCCACTGTTGGTACAACTGATTCACGCTCCAGGACAAGATCCAGAAACCAGAGAAAAGGCATCTCGAGCTTTGCATAATATAGTGTATGCCAAAAGCGACGAGAGGGCTGGACGCCGGGAGGCGCGGGTTCTCCGGTTTCTAGAACAGTTACGGGACTATTGCCAGACTCTGAGGACATCTCTAGAAACGGGTCAGGTTCCCGATGACCTAGAGAGGCATCCCGGGCCAACGATAGCGGCATTGATGAAACTTTCCTTCGACGAAGCTCATCGTCACGCCATGTGTCAGCTCGGTGGACTTCATGCAGTTGCAGAGCTGATCGAGATGGATCATATGGCTCATGGAAGCGAATGCGATGATCAAAATTGCATCACATTGCGTAGATATGCCGGAATGGCTCTGACGAATCTGACATTCGGCGATGGAAACAATAAAGCATTGCTCTGTTCCTTCCGGGAGTTCATGAAGGCTCTGGTTTCGCAATTGAGAAGTCCAAGCGACGATCTCAGACAAGTCACAGCGTCTGTATTGAGAAATTTGTCGTGGCGAGCTGATACTAGTAGCAAGCAAACGTTGAGGGAAGTGGGAGCAGTAACTGGTTTGATGAAGGCTGCGATGGAGGGTAGGAAGGAATCAACTCTTAAGTCGATACTGTCTGCACTTTGGAACCTGTCGGCACACTGTAGTACGAATAAAGTGGATATTTGTGCCGTAGATGGCGCACTGGCATTCCTCGTGGATATGTTGAGCTACAAAGCACCATCTAAAACTTTAGCCATTGTTGAAAACGCCGGTGGTATTTTGAGGAATGTATCTAGTCACATTGCTGTTAGAGAAGATTACCGAGCCATTGTAAGAGAGAGGGGATGTTTGCAAGTATTGTTACAACAATTGCGATCACCTAGTTTAACCGTCGTTAGTAACGCCTGTGGAGCTCTGTGGAATCTTTCTGCCCGATGTCCACAGGATCAGCGTCTGTTATGGGACCTGGGCGCAGTTCCAATGCTTCGTAGTCTAATTCACTCCAAGCACAAGATGATTTCAATGGGTTCAAGCGCAGCCTTGAAGAATTTACTGAGTGCCAGACCAGGCTGTAATAATCTCGTCCACTTAGACTCGACAGCACGCGGATTAGGACTTCCAACTCTACCAACTTTAGTTGCACGCAGACAAAGGGCTCTGGAGCAAGAAATAGATCAAAGCTTGGCCGAAACTTGCGATAACATCGAACCTAGCACATCTCCGACTAACAAAGACGATAAGTTTTCGTTCAAGGTGGAACATAGCTTCTTGGGGATCAACACGCGAACTTTACGCTCCTATCAACTACATAATCAACCTAGCACATCCAATATGAAGTGCAACGGAGTCGCCAGAAGCGAGAGTAGAGACTCTATGCGCTCCATAACAAGCACTCATTCTGACACCATGTTTGAAAGGGTAAATCGACACGTATTGAATGGACTATCTCCTACTGATATTCAGATAAAACAACAGTCCTCGTCGCTACACTCCGCAGTCGGTTTCGACAACGGAATGTCCAGTGATGCTCACTCGAAGACCTCTTCGGAGAAGAAGTATACGTTACGCTACAAAAACGCCATCCCGGATCGTTTGAAGTCGTCAGACGGTTTTAATGGTCTTGTCGACCTTAGATGCACTAATTCTACCATTTCCTGGTCCTCGGCTCCGGATCAAGAATCCACCTGTTCACAGAATTTGCTACACTCTTCCGTAGAAGACAACTTGCCACAAAGCATCACGTCTGTGCTCAAGACTGGTAGTCAGTCCAGTATTTCCGAGGAAACGGAGTTGAACGTTTGCACAAAAACCGAGTACGTGAGCACGAAGCCTGAAATAGAAACCTCGACCTCGTTATCATTCGTCAACAACAGCTCTCCCGCGAAAGACAACATCAACTTTGGAAACGTCTACGACAAGACTGTTTTACATCAACACAGTTCGTTGAATACTATACAACAGGCTATCTCACCGACTGTCAGTTATCGAACAGAGGGAAATCTGTTCAGTGATTATGCCGAGACGGATTTGGATCAACCAACTGATTATAGTTTGCGTTATGCTGAACGAAGTCTGGAGGACGAAGGAAAACCACATTCTCACTATTTCCCGAGTAACGATCAAGAACTCATCCACGAAGATACAGTAAAGACCTATTGCACAGAAGGAACTCCACATGGAACGTCTTTAAATTCTTCTAGAGCGGCATCGGCTTCTGACTTGCAAGAGGATAGTCGACAGAGGAGTTTATTGAAGAAGATTCAGGAACAAGGTAAACTGCAAGATACGGAGGAATTGAATTTAGAATGTACCAGAATGGAATGTACGGAAGTTTCGAGTGACAAGAAAAGAAGTCAAATGTTGCAGTACTTTGAAACGAATATCAAGGACAATAATGTTGAGGAAAATGATCACGCTTCTATGAAAAATTCATTGAGGTTTGTGCACTTTCATGTAGATAATACAATTAGCAAAAAGAACATTTTATTTAAAAAATAAATGAAAATTTTTAGTAACTTATTTTCTTAACAAAAAATGTTTGGATCGTAACTATAATCTTGATTATATGTATAATATGATTACACATGGCTATATCATGATATATATGTTATGTATAATATATACATATACGTACATCTATGTGACACATTTCCTATCACTTGTTATTTTCTTTAACCTGAGGATACTCTACATATTTAATATATGAAAAAATAAATCAAAATTCTGTATTTTCCTATTCGCAGCGTAAGAACAACAATTACACAAGTATCTTCGAGCAACTTACAATATGCTGAGAGTGATGATATAGCACCCAATTCTACAAAAAATAAACCAGGTAAAGTTACAGAAAAAATTGTTTTTACTCACTCTCGATACTACTCGATTCGAAATTCAACGATACTGAAAAATTTTCTCTAAAAATATAGAATTTTATTGAAACAGTTAAAAAAATGTATTTATTTTATTATAGAGAAGAAATACGATACACAGAATGGCATGTTTGAAAAAAACGATAAATTTGATAAAAGTTATCCTAGCAACGGTGTTAATTCGTACGTGACTAGTGCATTGAAGGCTTCTAACGATTCAGGATGTAAGGAATTTGAACTAAAAGGAGATACCCGTAACATGCCTTATATATTAAATATAAACAACTCTTCCGAATGTTTAGATCAAGTCAGTGATGGCGATGAGGACGACGAAGATCTACTTACAGCTTGCATTAATATTGGAATGCAAAATAATAGGTAAATATTTTGGTTCGGTATAAATGTACTATAATTATCAACAACATCCTTGGTAAATGTACAGATCGAACTTAACTTTTCTGATTTCGATGATTTTTTAATATGTGGTGGGGACATGATTCCGAACAACTTTTTCCTATATATGTAACTGGCGGTCGGCCTTAATTTCCGAGATATTTGCGAAAAACTATCGTTACTACCACAAAGAATTATACGTTGAATTTTGCACAAATCTGTGGCAGAATATACGTCTGTTTAATTGCCAACTGCCGAATAAAATGACCTGGTCGGAATTTTCTGCTTATGTATACAAAGGGGAGTGGAACGAATGGGGTATCCGAGATGAAGGTTCGTACACAACGTGCGTAAGCGAGGCTATAAAAAATGTCTGCTATATCTTAATTAAAAATAAATATAATTTTTAGAATTTAGAGTTTAGATTAGTACTTTTAATCCGGTCAGCAATGCTTGCATAAAATGATAACAGTTACCTTATTTCGTAAAATAATATCGATTATTCATTCGCCTATTATTTTTATAATTCAGCAGCGGCCGAATTGGGAAATCTGACTTAAATCCAATACATACATCGATCATATTAATTTTTAATTGAGTTGTAATAGGCATTCCTTGCAGCCTCGCAAGAACATATAATTGTGCACAGGGCCTTTAAGCTTGACCATAGTCTCGTTCATAAACAGAAGATAAGCAGTCGATGGTTGGCAACCAATACTGATGCATACACTGTCACAGACGCATGATTATAGGTAAAATTCACTGTAGTAAACACTATATCGACAGTTTTTTGCGAATATATTATATATTGTGCTCCATATATTAAAAAATCATCGAAATCGAAGAGGTTGAGTTCGACATGTACATTTACCACATTTTTTTTATTATTTTCGCTAAACCAAATAATTTTTAATTGAAAAATAATTCTTACGTTATTTCCTTTTTTTAGGCATAGGCATTCGTTTATAGGAAATAATTTTGAAAAAGTTCCGCGAAATGAAAGCAATCTTGCCAGGTACCAAACAAGCGTTGCACTAGATCAAATGGACTGCAATTCATCTGTCGATTCTACCATGAACAGTCTTGATACAAAACAATCGGGATCTGAAGAAATGGTAGATCCCGATATTTGTACTGATAACGTTAATGATAACTCATCGAATATGAATATTGTGTCAGATTATAATCAAAGTACGGCCAAATTTATGCAAAAGGTGACATATCTATTTCGTGCACACAATTTTATATTTTTATAAATTTAATTTCAGAATTTAATTATTTTCGTGCGTTATTTGAAACATTACAATAGAAATGTACAAAAGAATGCGCATATTTTATAAACATCGAATTTTCTTATTTCAGGTGATAGAAACTAAAATTCCAATGCAACAATCGAATCAAGTTTTGCAGAATGAGTTGGACAAAGTAAAAAACACGGAACGCGGTTCATTATTAGGCGATGATAGTCTGTGCAATTTCTCATTACCTTCGAACTTGAGGAATAGCCCGATATTACATGAAACAGTAGTGTTTAACACAGAACCTACACAGCAGCAATATCTATCTAGTATCGACACCCAATCGAATGAAGACATGTCGTCTCTGATACATAATGATGTTATTGAAAATGATCAAAATATAGATGATGATTCTGCTAAGTGGGAAAATGATAAAACATCAAAAACATTAAAAGACAAAGCGATTGAGAATTCGTCTATGCAACAATCTTATACTAAAGTAACAGATTCAGAGAGTAGCGAATCGATCGATTCCGTGGAACAATCAGAACACGCACTTTTAGAATTGTGTATACAACCTGGATTAACGAAAACTATGGACAATATCCAGATAAATAAAACCACGATGAATGAAATCGACAGTGAATTTGGGGAGCGAAAAATTAATAATTTTGATGAAAGCAGTAAAATGTACAATGACACATGTGAAATAGATGGCATTAATAAAGAAAAAGTTGATTCAAAGCACAAAGTGGCACAGAAACCTGCAGAATCAGCGAAATATGTGGAGAAGGAAGATGTATATCGGCGTCAAAGGGATCCTGATGCTATGATTGCCTCGTTAGATCGCTTAACTGCGACTCTCGTGCAACAAACGGAAGCAATTCGAGAACGAGATTCGGGCGCAATGAAACAGAGCATATTGAGTGATACATGGAATGAAGATTCTCCTAATGATGTATCTTTTCCTAGCATAAGTATTAGTGCCCCTATAATCGCTTCATTTAAAAGCGATGTACCAGAAGAACCAGGAACAATCACCTCGGAGTGTTATGAAACAGCAAGTAGCGACAATGGGCACATGACCAATTCAAAAATTATTCAAAGAGAAGCGATTAAATTAGCTCAAGCGGTGGACGCAGAAATGAATCGACAGAACGAACTAGATACAACCAGTATGACGTCGATGGATTTAGAAGCAATAAAACCACCTTCCTCGATGGGAAGCTTACTATCACTGACAGCTAGCTACGCAGGTTCGGGTGACTGTAGTGAGTCGTTCGTTAATCGAGACAGGTGTAATTCTACATCCTTGCCTCCAATCCAGGCGAAGAATATATCTTCGACAGATTCTCGAAGCTGTCGTAAGAAATCTCTTCCTTTGGGTGTCGTAGCTAAAAGAGCTCTGAGTCAAACTCAGAGTCACACCGGCAGTCTCGAAAATTTGTTGAACGAATGTACTGGTTCGCACTTAGAAAGTGTCAAACCACCATCAATGATGGACGAGTTACTAGACGTTGGTGACATGGAAAATAGTATGTTAAGCGTGGCCAGTATTACATCAGAGGTGGCAGATTCTAAGGATCAAGACTCGCAGAACTTAAGCGGGAGCGACGCTGTTTTCGATTTACTAAAACCTGTCGCAAATGTGCTATCCATGACGTGCATGCGTTACGCTGAAGCTATGCAGAATAGTGCAAATAATAGTTTGAGTGAATATCTGGAGAACATCAATCCACCTTCGCTGTTCAATGAAGTGTGTGAAATGGATGAGTCAACAGTGGAACAAGCTACAGAAACTATATGCAGCGATACGTTGTGTATTGACGCGGAATTACATACCGAAGAAGCTCCACATCCTGTGATGATAGACAGGATCGACGAAGCAGGTGATACCGACGAGGCAGTTACACCAATTTCGTCTGAATACTGCGTTACTAGCTCGGCAGAGTCCACGCCTAGGAAGCGATTACACAGAAATTTAACACCAAAGCAGAAAAGAACTTTGGCCAAGGAAAGATATAAGACGTATACTATAGCTGCGGAACTCGATAAAAAGGAAGAAGAACGACAGGAAAACGTAGTACAGGAGAAGATTGCACGGGGAAAAATTTCACCTTTTTCCAAATTGACACCTAAACAACGTAGACAAGAAGATAGAGCCAGGTTTCAAACACAGGTATTGGAAAATCCTTTCCCCGACATGAATCAAGATCAAAATAATCAGGAAGTTAATGCTACTTATGAACAAGAGAATTCTGAAAAGACAACGGAAGCAACGTCCCCGGTAAAATCTGCTATCCCCACATTGTCAAAACTATCCGCTTGTAAAACGTTGATTAAAAAGCGCGTCGAGCAAAAGAAGAATAGGGAAAGATATCGTACGAGAACTTTGAACGATTCAGAACGCATATTCAGAGATACAGAAAGTAATACTACTACAAACGCGGTAGAAGATAGATTACCAGATTCAACACACACTATCGAATCGGATGAAATTCAAACCATGTTGGAACAAAATGCAACCATCGTGTTAAATACATTAAACGAATCAAATAAGACAAATGAAACTGGCGAGGATGGGTTGCTAGATTGCGAGACTATTAGTTTAGTATCAAATGAATCAGAATCAGAACGGAACCTACGGATGCGGTTTGTCAACGGCGTTTCTAAAAAACTGATAGGTTCGTGTATTCGACAAATGGACAATGTACAAGAACCAGAGGACGCTCATAAGGAAACAATCGAGATCGAAGAACCCAGGTCGCAAGAAGACATCAGGTATACAGATAATGTGGAAACTGAGAGCGAAGATGAATCTAATAATACCGAGGGACCACCTAGAGAAACAAAAAGGCCCCGAATAATTAAACCAGGAATGGTGAGAGATCCCAGTAATGATTCTAACGCTACGGATAAATCAGACCCAGAAAGTCCAAAGGCCATTCGCGGGAGAAGAAAAGCTCTCTACTCAAATCCAATTACGCGAAAGCCAACGCCACAATCGTCTCCATTGAAACAGGTCAATCCTGTCAGTGGAATACCTATAGGTCGTAGCAACACTTCACCTATTGTAAGAGCAACAAGAGCTACCACATTGAGACAAAGTAACAATAGTCCAGGTACAGCGACGAAAGAATCAACAAAATCAAATATAAGTCCTAAAATGAATCCCAGCTCAACAGATGACAAACGAACGAAGATTTTATCGGTGGCTGCAAAAAGAGCATCAGTTCCTCAGAAAGGATCGTCATTAACTTTCACAAAGTCCGTAAAGAGACACAGCACACCTCCAACGTGTTCTTCCTCGAACTATCAACAAGAAACTAAGACGGACGTAACGATTAAGCCCTTGGAACGACAAGGAACATTTACCAAAGACGAACCAGAAGTGAAGAATGCGCCCACCGTAGAGTCTTCATCTCCTTCGCCGATAAAAACGAAAATCGCAAAACCCATTAGAGGTGCAACATCCAAGGTACATCCAACAACTGGGAAACCAAAACTTACGCCAAAGACACATCAAGCGCACCAATCAAAATCATCAAAGGGAAACGCTTCAGAGAAGATTCAATCTTCGAAAGCATTACCATTACTGGTAGCTCCAAAACGATTACCTACAGGAAAAGCAACTGCAACTCCAAAAATATCAGCCAATAATCAAAGTACTGCACAGATAGAAAGCGGTAAAGTCTTTCGAAAGGTAGGTCCTCTTGGTCAGAGATCTAACAGTAATTCCAGTATTGTATCCAACTCCTCGACCGGAATGCAAACTAGAAAATTGGCAAAGGAAGCGACTAGTAAAATTGCAAGCCTTTGGAAAAAGGTAGAGGAGAGTAAAAATAAGCAACGGTTTGAGAAACCAGATACTAGGCAGTGGCTACAGCCTGGTAATTGTGCTAATGAGATGGATACCCCATCTCCAGTGAGCAATCCGCCAGCTTTTAGGTTGTTTCGTAGTTCCACGTTCGAAGGAGTGCCCCAAGAGAATGATAATCCGGAATCAGCTTTGTACAAATCGAAATTGAAGAGGCCATTGGTAATGGGCGTACAACCCAGTAAAGTGAAATACAGAAACTCTTGTGACTTGAGCGGAATGAACGCAAACGACGCACCTTGCAAGATTCCTGTAAAGTCTAATGACGCTTCTACGTACAAGAAAGACATCGTAGATGTAGTTGACACCTCGGTTGTTCTGCGAAAATCACAGCATACCGAATCCTCCACGGCAGAGGTGGATCCTATGAAACGAATATCACGTCTTGGTTCCTTTATAAGAGTAGACTCTGCGAATGCAGAAGGTTCTGCACAAACATACGTTAATGGGTCCGGTGTGCGTACACCCGCGTCCGCCATTGTCCCACCTTTTAATTATAACCCGAAGCAAGATATCCCTTCGCAAATAGCCAAAGTAACGCCGGATGAAACTGAAAGCAAATTCAGAGTGACAGATTGTCATAGTGACATAGTCACAGCTTCTACGAGAGTAACAACGGTATAGTGAGAGCCTGTTATAAAGTAAACAACTTTCTTTCGTAGTATTGCTTTTCTGTTTCAGGCTAGTCATTGTATATTTGATTTACTGCTGTATTGATCATAAATCAACACGCAGTACATATATTACGAATACTTGATAAGTAAGTTGAAGGTTTCTTTCTTACCTCACACATCGTTTAAAGGACACCGAAAATCTTCATGGCATCTCATTAATTTTTACACACTAAAGATAAAAAGAATAATCGTTTGAATACTTTTCTTCGTTGCATGTGCATTGGCAATGCAATTTTTATTCTCCCCCTTTTTTTAAGAGGTATAATTAAAATGTGACATAGCCGAAAATCCTGATATATCATTCCTATTCACTTTGCGTGTTGTATATACATATATTGAGAAATTCCATAATTACGAAGAAAATTAAAAATCGGTAGTACGTAGCAGTAATTATGCTCGATTATTTAATTCAATTTTGTATATATTAAACGTCGATGAAGAATGTAGAAAGTTTAGTGATATGTATTACGACTCATGATGTATATGGAAATATGTCGCTATACATCTTCGTAATAGATAAATTTGCAAGGAATAAGATCTGTATTTTGTTTCCATCGTAAACTGATTTGTATTCTTTCAATTGAATACAAAGTCTAATTACTTTTTAAAGACTGATAGAAACACGATGAAGATTTGGACGAAACTTGGACATTTTCAGTGCAACAGAATGTTACGACAAAAGCAGTAGTGATGTTTATATCGATGTAGCGGTCTAAGTAACGCTAAACTGGCATTATGTGAAGAGACAAAATTTTGTAAACCCTTACTTTAAGTTTCTAGTCTACTTGAAAATTTACAGTTAAAATAGCTTCTATTTTGGTCATATATGTATTACATAAAAAAATCGATTTGCATGTAACAAGTGTCTACTGATTCGATTGTTACCCTTTCTAAAATACATGTAGGTACAATTAAGAGTGTGTACGGATCAATTATGTATTTATAGATCGGAAGGTTTAAGGTATTGGCATGCCATTTAATAATTTTACTTTCACACGTTCTCATTTGTTTTCTAGTTTCATTGGAAAATTTGCTATTATTCGAAGCATTTAATGCGTACGATACTTTAAGTTTGTTTCTATATCGCGTCATCTTCCCTTCTACATGCACCCGATCAATCTAAAATTTCATTAGAAGGAAACTGTTTGACACGATATAGAATAGATTTTACTATTCATTGTTTACGTATTTGTTACACAAGTCTTATACCCTGTTCCAGTTCGAGTTAATTAGATTTAACTCTTCCAACTTGGAACCACATCAGGGTACCTTTATATTTTTTTTTTCATACAGGATTTGATCTGTACACCAGAATTCCTTTTCAGGGTTCTTTTGTAATCTTCGTCTTTTACTTAGATTTTAAGTATTCATCTTTTGTTATACTGTATTTTAGATTCGGCAGACATCTTAATGATTTGTATATTAATAATTACAGTACAATAAAATTTATAGATACTAATATCTATTTTGTTTAATATTACATTTATATAAAAACATAACATTTAAAGTTATGTAATATACATAAAGTAATATACAGTTATTCATATTTATACAAAAATTTATTTGTCATATAATGGACATTCATAAAGATTAATGGATTTATCTTCAGATACTGATGCAATCATGTTATTTCTTTGTGGATTGTACTTTACAGCCCATACCTAGAAAAGCAAAATGCTCACAACTCCAAATCACAGATTACTTTTTCTGCTTTATAAATTTACAATAAAAATTCCATAATGCTGTATGTAATACGGTATCTCACCTGATCATTGTGTTCATTAAATGTATGTAAGCATTGTCTTTGGGCTAGTTCCCATACTTTAACTGTATGATCTGAACTACTAGATGCAAACTGTTGACCATTTGGAGCAAAAGCAACACCAAGTACCCATGAGGCATGACCAGACATAGTTCCTGCTAAATTAGCATCTTTTCTATATGTAAGAATAAGAAGGAATATATTAATGTTTCAATGTTTTAATCATATTTCTATTTTATGCGAATTGAAACTATGAATTACTTACACGTCATACAGTTTCATATGTCCATCATCTGATGCGGTAAGAAGTAATTGAGAATCTGGTGAAAAACAAAGAGACCTGATAGGCATTGCATGACCTAAAATATTTCAAATACATATTAATAATTGTAAATCATCAATAACTTATTAACAAAATTTGTTATTACCTTCCAATGTACGTAAAACTTTTCCATATGTAACATCAAAGATATTGATAATCCCATCAATTGCGCCACTAGCAATGTATTTACCATCAGGGCTCTAAAATAAGTAATTATATAATACAAAAACTATCTTGTGTTATTTTTGCACAAAATTATACAATATAAATGTTTAAAATACATACATAGGCAACGCTCAATATAAATTTTCCACCTCTGGTATCTAAAGTTTGTTCTTGTTTGCCACTGTCTGTTCCATATAAATGTATTTTACCTGAATGACTACCAGATACAATGAATTTATCATCTGGAGAAAATACCACTGTCCAAATATCTACAGGACCTACTTCAATGCTTGATATTTTCTCTCCTGTTTGCAAATTCCATAGTTTTAAACTTGAGTCTAGTGAACTTGATGCACATTCTGGAAGCATGTGTGTACATATCATATAGCTCTGCTAACATTAATATATTCATTAAAATAAAATACATGCAAATAATTTTGTGTTTTTATTAATTATTCACTTGAACCATCTGAATTAACTGCAACAGATACCACACCAAGCGAGTGACCAGTTAATTTATATTTTAGTTGTAAACTTTTGTCTTTTTGTTCCCAAACTTTGACGACATCATCGACTGAACCGGTTACTAAATATTCGACTGTCTCATTCCCATTAAACTGCATCGATTCACTGCCATATAATGAAGAAAATTGTACAGAAGTATATAAATGATAAAAAATACATCGAAATTAATTACCGTGAATCTTCATTATCCTGCTGTAATTCCTTTTTCTTCTTTAAACAGCCCCAAGCACAGGTCCAAATGCTATCTTCATGAGCATTTTCAGTTTTATTAACTATCGAATACTGAAAAAATTTTTAATTCGTTTTTGCAACTGTCGCATATCATGAATAACATAACCTTTATATCGTGATAATTTGCAAATTCATTTATATTCCTCACCATTCCAGAAAGTATTTATTATCTCCCAAACAATGATTAAAAATGATTTTGATCTAATACAAAATACACTGTTTCCTAACTATATGTACATACTAACTATTTATAAACACACGCATATATAACTTGAATATCCGAAAGTTCACCACACGCGTATGCGCGATAGCAGCTGACTTACAGGCAGCTGGATTCATTGAAATCAAATGTGTTTATGTTGAAAGTACTCTCAAAATTTTGGGAAATATATAGTTTATAATGGGTAATGTAAATAGAAACGCGTAAATAAGAATTACAACTTGATTTTATTAGTACTGTGCACATTTAAATTAACATAACAGACTTCATTTTATACATTATATTACAATCGTAATTGTAACCTTTCTGTTTGATTTGATTGCACAAATAAAAAGATATCAAAGCTACCTTTTTAAGAATATGATCTAATGACAAAAAATGGAGTACAAAATGTTGAAAATATTTAGGTCTGGTAGAAAATTGTATCATGAGTTCCACAAAACTGTGGTGCAAAAACGGTCTTTTTTATCAGAAGCGTACCGGTGCGAGGATGCATGGAAAGCTCGTCTGCAATTTCCGTTACTCCAAAAATACAAACCGGAGGATTTATTTATAATCTTGGACAATAAATTTTTTATTGATGGAAAAGTTAGTGCCATAGACATAGATATATTTGCAAATACCATACGAAGCAAAGATCAGGTAGAAGAATTATTAAGTATAATCCAGAAACTACGAAAAAGTGCAGAAACAACAAATACCTTAGATTCAACACATCATGCTGTCATAAGATATTTATTTGATAATGATCTTACTGAACAACTTATGAATGTGTTACATGACAGACTTAAATATGGTATTTTTCCCGATTATGTGTGTTATAACATGCTCATGGATGCATATATAAAAAAAGAAGATTATGCCAGTGCCGTAAAAGTTGCTGTTTTGCCTATGTTGCAAGAGGATACTGACAACTTGATAACTAATGCACTATCTATATATGCTTGTCATAAATATTTAGAACATACAGATACATGGCAAAAGCCATCAGAACCAATAGAAGATACTAAAGAAGAAATAAAAATACGTGTGAATTATCTTAGAAATCCTTTCTTTGATGACCATTTTGATCTTACTGATCCAATTGATTTAATTGGAAAAACACTGGCTTTCCAGGGAAAATTTATGAATAATACACTAGGAAGGACTTGTCAACTGAGAGGTCTAATATTATATAAAAAATATCAAGATGCATCAAAGTCAATAAAACAATGGTTAAATGAATTCGAAGGAGATATTGTTTACAATGAAGTTTTTGACTTAATTGAAAATGACAAAGAAAAAGTACATAAAGAAGAAGCAACAAATGAATTTGAACAATTAATGTTAGAAGTCAATGGGTTAAAAGAAAAGAATTTGTGTAAGGATAATTTAATTGAAGCATTAGAAAATAATGTTAAATCTGCAGTTGAAAAGCAACACGATATAGATATAAATGATCAGTTGCAGGTAATTGAAAATACATTAAAAAATACAAAACGGGTATTAATTAAATCTATTATTTATTATTTTGCTTAATATTTCAGAAATATACCGAATGGGAAAGAAAAAGACAATTAATATTAGATAAACAGATAGAGGAAATGAATCGAGAGGCCAAACTACTGGAAATAAACAAATTGAAAGAAGAAATGAAGAAACAAGAACGATTTTTAACTTTCTTTGAAAATGAAGAAGAAATAGAACTACAGATAGAAGAAATGGAAGCAAAGGAAAAGGAAAATATGGAAAAACTCCTTAGCAAACATGGCGCTCAAAGAAAACTGAAGAAATTAGAAGGAGAAAAAGAATATATACCACCAATGCTTTAAATTCAGAAAGAGTAATTTTTGACATATTTATAATTTTTTAATAAATGTGTATAGTTAAAACCTTAATAAATTAAATACTTTCGAAAACTATGAATAAAGGGTTTATAATAATAAAAAACAGTAAAAATATGTATCACATTATTTATCTCTCATATTTTGTACATAATTCCTTAAAGTATTTTCTTAAATGTTTATTATGTAAGTTTATAGCGGATATCTCCAAAGCCACTTATTTCTTAGAAATATGGAAGTTAACTGTACAATTAAAGTTTATACTAAAAAAATTATTAGGCTTTGTAGCAAATAACGTTCCGTTTGAGCGTTGATATTGAATCCATTTATGTCACATCTTGGCCCTCTTATAAACACGATTAGCGAATTACGTATAATTTTACGTTACACACAACTTTGGGCCAAGGCACAGTTTTAACAGTTACTTTTAAATTTAGAATAACTGTTAAAAACTATTTTATAGGCAGCAATATATCAAATCCTGCATAACTATAAAATTTGGTCTTCGTAATCGTATTCGTTTATGAGGAATGTTCTGTAAATGCAATAATATAATTTCACTTTTGGTAAAAATTTTCTAATTAAAGCTTTAGCTCATTCTATCTTTAACATTAACACTTTGACTGCCACGCCGAAATCACACGTTTTGCTCAAGACGCCATGGGAGTATTTTTATTATTCAAAGCATATAATGGCAAAAGGTGGCGCCTTGGTAATAGTTGATAGCGACATATTATAACAAGGCTTCATTGGTTTCAACAAACCATTCGCCTTTGTCATTTTGTTGTAAGCAAAACGTTCAGAATATATTGTTGAAACGTGTAGAAGATATTAGTAAACAGTATTTGCTCATTCTATATATAATAGTAAGGTATGTGCACACTTCTAACTTCAATTATATATATGATTATAAAGCAGCATTTACGATTATTTTCTAAGCTGTGTTTATAATAATATTCGTAGATTACCCCTCAAAGATATGGATGCAAACACAGTGTTAGATGCAAGATTTGTTCGCATTTTCTTTTATTGATATTCTAATAAAAGTGTTTAATTGTTCAATGGGGCACTTTTTGTTTCAAAGTATCTTCTATTTATCGGTTATATTCAAAATGCCCTAACTGTCAATTTTCATACAATTTTTACAATTGTAAGAAGTTCAAGCGCTCTGGTCACCAATGACCACTGTGGCGTCACAGGAGAAATCGTGGCCAGTCATATATGATCAACATGGCAGTCAAAGTGTTAATGGAACTTTACCTGGTCGTTGTTATTACAAATAATATATCGTAATATCACAGATTATATAAAAATCACGAAGTTTTACTCTGTAATTGTGCCGTTAATTCTGCTGTTTCTTGTTTCATTTGTCTCAAATCAGCAGTTATCCTTTCCAAATTTGCTCCAACATTTTTTGTAGCTTCACAATCAATCTAAAATCCATTATAACACTCTAATTATATTAGGTTTCAATAATATGACGGCAATATAAAAGTCATCTTCAAAGATATTATTACCTTTATACTATACAATATTTACCTGCTCTTCTAAGTCTCTTATTTCTCTTATAGTCGCACCTGTTTCTTCTACTAAACTTACGAGTTCACTACAATCAGAATGAAGTGTGGCCAATAATTTATAAGCTTTTCTTGATGCCTCATTCGTTCTTGCATCTCGAAATATTAATTCATCAGCAACAGTAAAGGACCTTTCTAATCTGCCTGTAAGTGTGTTAATTTCTTTTTGGATTTCACGCGTGTCAGCTAATACTTTATTAATCTCATCTCTTTGTTTTCTAATATTGTTAATTATTTCTAAAATTCGTTGAGTATATGCGGACCTATTCACTTCTTTAGGGAGTTTTTGAACTTCGATTACTAATTGTGAGTATTGTTGATCTTTATTACGACATTCTTCTTGTAATTCTCTCTCCTTCTCTTTTAGTAACTTAATATCATCGAGCTTCTTCTGACTTGCACTCTAAATATATATATTCAATACATGAAATTTTGAATTTACGTGAATAATTTGAATTTTATTTTATATTACGATGATAGTACTTACAGCTTTAGTAGAATGCTTTTCTCTTTCTTGTCTATACTTTTGGATTAGAGGCACTCTATGTTTCTCCCACTGATTACCTAAATTGATTAATTTACTTGTAGTAACTTCAATTGCTGTCTCTAGTTTCTTAATATTTTCTTCCCCATCTTGAAACAGATCATAAATTCTTGCTTTAATCTTTTTTTGTTCTTCATTAATTGTTAACTCTTTTTCCTCATTTTGATAATTTATCGTTACTTGTGCTACACTGGTACTTAGCTTCTTGATTGCATCTTGCAATTTTTCTATGTCATTTCTGGAACACTCACATTCTATTTTTATTTTTTCTATTTGTAAGTCTTGTTTTTCCATCTTATTTAATACTTTTTGTTCTATAATCTTAGTTTCTTTAGTGCCATTATCTTTTATCTGAGGTTGCTATATACAGAAAGATAATAAAAAATTAATAAAACAGTCTAGAATGAGACTGTGTGAACATCGTTATCAATATTTTTAAAGCTTACTTTGGAAGGTAATGTTCTATCTTTTATTGAATTTCCATTCAGAAAATTAACATCACCAGATATATTAGCCTCAATAATTTTATCGCAATATTGTTTATTTAACCAATTTATTTGATCAAGAATACTCATTGAATGTGTATGAAGAGCTCTTGCATTGTAAGATATCAAAGAAGGTAGAAGTGATGATTCATTTTGCACTTGCTCAGGCACAGATTGCAGATAATGTATGCAATAATCTTGATATTCTATGACAAACAAAATTTTCTAATCAAAATATTATTATAATATTAAAATATATTAAATGTAAGCAATATTACCTTCTTTACTGTCCATTTTTGGAACTTCTAAATTCACAGATTTATAAGGGATTCTTGCCCGTCCTCTATTTCTAAATCCCTTTGTATGGCAATAATGTGGTAACCATGAAACTGATAGACTCTGTGTTATTGCTGTTGCTATAGATTTTTCTAGTAATGCAATATTGCTAACAGGTTCGCTTAGAGGTTTATCACTTTCTTTCGGTAATTTTTCAATAAGAAACATGAAAACTTTCCTTAGGTCTGCTTCTGAGCTATATAAAAATGTTTGATAACCAATATCACCTTTGTATCCTAATTCCTAAATTTAGAAACAAGATGTCAATAAAATTAAAATATCAAAATTGCATAAATAATTTATATGTTTATAAAATCTTACTGAACATGCTTGAGCAA